CTGTAATCTCAGTACTTGGGAGCCTAAGGCAGGACAATTGTTTTGAGTTTTGAGAGGCTAGGCTACCGACTAGGATGATATCTAAAAAAGAGAGAACGAGCTTTTCCTTGATAATAAATTGATTAACTGATTGCTTTGTAATTTTATCAGTAACAATGTGGCAGGAATATTTCCCTGTTGTTAAAAAAATTTGTTACAACATAAATCCTATGTTGTAAGCATAGGATTTACTTTATTGTCAAAGAAAGCCTTTCATTTTAGTGTATTCTCATAGTCTATCCCATGTCCATCCTTTCCCTTTTTTATTTTCTAGAATCTTTGTGTGTGTTTGATGTGTGTTTTGTTGGGAGCAGAGAGCATGCTTGTCCTATGAATGTCAGAGGACAAGCTGTACTTGCTTTCCGCCTTGTTTGAGAGAGCATCTCTTATTGTTCATCCCTTCATATGCCAGGCTTGTTGGCCTGGGGGTTCTCCTGTCTCGGGCTCCTGTCTTGCTATCAAATCCAGCTTTATGTGGCTTCTAGAAATCTGAGCTCTAACCCTCATGCCTCTCTATCCACTGAGCCATCTCCCCAACCCCTTTACTTTTTTATTGTACCCTTTCTTTGTGTGTCTCTCAGTCTCTTCTATGGATATACTGACCTGAAGTATTCTTGTTTTATCTTTGTAGACTAATCTGTTATACACATGAACCCTTCCATTGTCAGAATGCTTTATGTTGAGAAGCATTCTTACTCTCTTTTCATAGGTTAAAGGGCTGAGTCCCAGAAAGATTAGATAACCCTCCTGAGGTCTCACAGTGAGGAAGAGGGTGGGGCGTTGAATCTAGATGGCCTCAGTGCAGAGGCTGTCTCCTGGACCACAGGGCATGGAGAGGATGGATAGATCCAGTAGTGTCCCACCCTGACTCGGTGGGAAGTTGTGGCACTAATTTCTTTTCTTTCAAGCATCACAAGAATCAAAATAACAAATCTGTTATGATAAAGACCTTTTCTTAACCTCAATATATGTAAGTTGGAGGGGCCTGCCTGGCTAAAATATATGACAGATACATCTAGGTCCTGAAGAACAACACTGGCTTCTGCCTCTAACTCTTTTTATAACCTTGGGGAATCCATTTAATAGTTCTGTGTCTTATTTTACCCATTTACCAAGTAATGAAGAAAAACTAAATGACCTTGAAGGCCTACTCCAATTTTAAAGGGAATGTGGAACTAAGGTTGTAATTACGTTGGTAAAGTACATATTACCTAGCATATAGAAGGTCATGGGTTCAATCCCCAACACTTCATGAACCTAGTGTAGTAGTGAATATCTCCAGTCCCAGCAGTAGGATCAGAAGTTCAAGAGCATCCTCAGCTGTGGAACAGGTTCAGAGATTCCTGAGAACTTATCTGAGACAGAAGGAAAAGGACAAAGTGAAAAGTGTCAGCAAATTCAAGCGTGAACCCCATCATTAAGGAGCGAAGTGGATCATGGAAACATATTGGAGCAAATAGCGTTCTTGTTAGTGAGGTGGTGTTGGAGTCAACTAAGGATTTGTTATGACATATTAAAATTATCATGTGCTCGTCCTTTGACCGTGGCCTCTGAGTAGTGTACCGTAGTGGCTTGTGGAACATGTCTCGAAGGCTGAGGTAATTATAGTCGTTCCACTGGAGCATAACAAATGGCCTCTCAATTTGAATTCTTTTATATGAAAGAAGAAACTTCCATGACAACAGCCCTGGAACTTAATTACAGGCTCCTGGTCTGAGAAAATGAAGACCGTCAATGGCTGCAGTGGGGAGAGCGAAGACAATAGCAGTGAGCCACCTGGGAAGAATCAGGAAGGGGTGACATCCTGGTGACACAGTAATAGCAGCCCACTGCATCAGAGGACTTTATGCAGATCACAGCTCTCTCTTGGGAGCATCACATAGTTAGCATCTTAGTGATTCCCATGAAACCCTGGGACTCAGTGTAGGAGGCAGAAAGGATTTTGCTTCATGGTACTCAGAAGTGCTTGTCTGAGGAAGCCCTTGAACCCTGAGAGTTCATATATATATTAGATAGTGTCTCACTGCACAGCTCTAGCTGGCCTGGAGCTCTTAGATACTCGCAGCTGCCTCTGCCTCCTGAGTGCTGGGATTATAGGCCTGTACCACTGCTCCCGGCCTCATAAATGTATTCATTTATGTAATGTTTTTGTTTTAGGTTTTGAGGAGGCATCTGTGCCCACCATTGGCCCACTGGCGCTTCTGGTTTGTTTCTGCAGTCTTTGTATAAGCCAGGCACCTTTCTAAGGGCCGGAGACGCCAAGTGAGTGCAGCAGGGCTCCTGTTTTAATGGAGTTTGACAAACAAGTGGGGTGAGACCAGTCATAAAAAAAGCAATCAATAAACAATCGCTATGGTAATAGGAGCTATGAAGAAAATCAAGCTGTGTGATGCAAGAGGGACTGGGTTAAGGTCAAGTCCCGTAGGAGGTAACATTTGGATTGAACCCTACATGATGGGACAAATGGGCCACGCCAAGACCTCTTAGTGAGCATTGTAGAGATAGTTCCCAGGGCAAAGGTGCAGACTCAGAAAGGCGTTGTTTATTCTAAGGACCCAGAAGCTGGCCCGGTGAGATGTAGGATGGGAAAATGCATGCGGTGGACTCAAGGGTCCAGGCTCCAGACAGAGCAGGACCCTGCAGACCACAGTGAAACCTGTTTGGCACACGGGGAAGATGTTGGCAGGTTGTGGCTAGGGGCTATTGAGATCCTCAGTTTCTCTAGGAAGCTTTCTTCATCTCTGAGCTGTGTTGACAACAGGAAGCAAGGGCAAAGGAAAAATGCTTACCGAGCAAGTAAGGCAGGCTGTATGAAAGTTAATGGGGCTGCTGTGCCTGAGGAAACACCATACTAGGCTGTTCTCAGGACAAGACTGGGTAGCGAGGCTGTCTAATTTAAACTGACATGAGAACATCTTCGCAGATCTAAGCCACGCTCAGGACTGTATTCTCACAGGGGGCTACTTCCTCTGCCTTAAGACCTGTCCCGAGTCCACAGGAAGTAGTGTTTAGGTACGGAACAACCTTGACCACATCTAGTCTGGGGTTTGTACCTACCCCATAGAATAAGCTCGCCTGAAATAAAAGATGTTATAGGTAGAGTTTTTCTCCCTACGTATAATGTCTTAGGTAGTGTCTCTTAATTTCTGTATAACATTTTTTGTTTATGTGTATTACTCCATATGTGTACATGTTCAAGTATGTGTGTACACTTGCCTGTATTGATTTGTATTTATCTAAGAAAAATATTTTTGCAGATGTTTTCCACATTCGAGCATACGGGAGCCTGCCTTTTCTGATGAAGAGGCATGGGAGGGGGTAGGGTAGATAGAATTTTACTGTAGGGGGTAGGTAGAATTTTACTGTAAACTTAGCAAGTTGCTTTATTTGATTTTAAAAAGTATTTTATAAACATCCGCGCCAAAGTTTAACATTGGTTTATGCTGCAAATAGGATGAAGCGAAGCAGCTATTTAGGTTCATAGTTCATTCCTATGAGACATCGTTGTCTTACGTGGCACAAGTATTAACAGCTACTGCCGGCGGGCTGGGGAGATGGCTCAGAGTTGTGGAGCACTGGTTACTCTTGAGTTCAGTTCTCAGTGTGCAAATGCTGGCGCACGACCATCCACAGCAGAGGGCTCAACACCCTGCTCAGATCTTTGCAGACGCTGGGCACACATGTGAAGCACACACATACACGCAGGCAAAACATTTGTACACGTGAAATAAATAAATATGAAAGAAAATTTAAAGAGTTAATGACAGTGCCTATCTGGTCACAAGACAAAGACAAACCAGCAGTGCACTGCAGTCTTGTATGGCCCTGTTTCTGAAGGGCACACAGTGACCTTTGAGCCCCGGGAAGTGATGGGCCAAGCGTACAAGATAGTCATTGTAAAATAAATGAAGCTAAACAAGCATAACCCAGCAGGATTTGGGTGAAAAGTTTATTACTTTGGAGTTGATATTGATCAATAAATAGCATTGTTTTTCCCCAGAGAGAAAAACTTTCTCAGTAATTTCTTCCAAACTTAGGAAAGTCCTAACAGGACAGAAGCCCAGGGATGGGGAGAGGACAGGGTGGGTGGCTGTGGCTGGAAGTGGGAAGCACACAGCAGGGCTACATTGTAACTGGGCTACATTGTAGAATTCAGGCTTCCTTCTGAGCCACGCATATCCTGGGTCAAACTCTCCTCCCCTGGCTATCTAGGCTGCAAGGAGCTTCCTTAGGCTCACAGCTGTGGGCACACAGGACACTAACTTTAAGGGAGAGTGAGCTCAGCTGTCACATGAGTCAGGAGCTGGTGGAGCAGCCATTGCCGCCCTGTGTCTGATTCTGAGGGTGATGAAAAACAGCTTCCTCCTCTGCTGGAACTCTCTCATCTGTCACTTGCAATTGTTGTGTGACTCCTGGAAATAGCCTAAGTCCCAGGCTGGACTTCATTCAAGGAGCTAATACAATTGCAATAGCATCATCAGTGTCTCCATCGTCAGGCCTTTAGGAATGTAGTAGCTTTGGGCCTTCCATATCTAATATTGCATGCTTGCCACTTTGCGTCCTTCCCTCGTGTCTTAATAAATGGACTAAAGATCTGGCTAGAAACTTTGAGATAAATTATGTGTTTATTTTGCCAAGTTGAGTAAATATATTTTAAAAAGATCACTACAGAGTGCAATCAAGTTAATTACTTTAAACATCCTTTTTTTTTTTTAATTTACTGGACTCAGAAAACTGTTAAGTGGTTTATTCTGTCATAGAAGTGATCCAAAGAGACTGTTGTTGTTGGTTCCACAAGATATCTATGCACGTTCCACTTCTGTGCCTGGAACTGTGCTTTTCATGAGTGGAGAGGCACCTGGGTTGGATGTGAGTTCAGCTGACAGGCGGGCCCTCCTCCAGGGAAAACATGGGCTGGCAGGTTGACATGCAGTCTGATGTGATCTCTCTCTTCATTCTAGATGCCGAGGAATACCAGCCTCCAATATGGAAATCATACTGTGAGTACCAACGATGGAAAAACCTCTGCAAGTCTTCAGAGATCCTTTTTGCCGGTGCGGTGCATGAGTGGTCTCATAAGCAGCCCCCCCGCACCGCCACCCAAGCTCTTTTCACACAGTAGAGATGCCTGACAGAGAGGGTTGACCCTGCACTTGTCCCTGACCGAAACCTCTAACAGCCAGTGACCTGTATAACCCATTTTGGGAGTCCTTCAGAATGGAGGGGGGCCTTCTCACTTTCTGTCTGAGGCATATTTTCATTTTCTGTGCATTTGGTCAGCAAGGGCGTATTATTGAGCACCGTGAATTATGCTCCTTGCTCTTCACCCCAGGGCTATAATAGCGTTTGACATGAACTGCTGAAAAATGAACACACAGTGAGCAGACTGTTCACTTCAGGTGACTATTTAGAAGCATAGCTCATGTCTGAACATCAGCCACCCAACAGCTCCTGTCCTGAAGGCAGGCAATGGTCATTACCTCAGACTCTTTTTCTCTCTCTCCCTGGCATCATGTGTCTGGCCCAGAATTCCCTGTTAAGTGAAGGAAGGACTGTGGCAGGAGGGATAAAACCCACCATGGCTTAGGCAGGTGGTCCTCCCAGCTCACAGCCAGTGTACTGCTTGCTTCACAGGCATAAGAATTTAAGAACTTGAATCCAGAACCCCAGTACCTATGTAAAAGCACTGTTGCATATGCCTCTAATCCTAGCGGCAGGGTAGAGACAGGAGGGTACCTGGGTCCTGCTGGCCAGCCAGTCGAGCCTAATCAGTGAGCTCTGGGTTCATTTAAGAAGCTCAGTCTCAGAAAATAATCTGTAGATGATCAAGGAAGAAACTTGGTATTAACCTCTGGCCTGTATATATCTACAAACACACACACACACACACACACACACACACACACACACACACACACACACCACGCACACAACCCATTTGTTAATCTGAGAGTAAGAATTTTCCATACTGCACAAACCAGTCACTGCCTCATGATGCAGTCCACCTCTCCCTCCTGACGCATGCTTTCTGTCATCTTGTAAGGCATATGCCTCTCGTGTTTAAAAATTTAAAAACACTCTGGGTACCGAGGCCTTTGCCACTCTTTTGTCTAATGGATTTCGTTGCCCTTGGCGCTCTCAGTTCCCCTCACAGATATATAGCCTTCATCTTTCTGTGCAGGCACGTGCAGGGACACCTCATTCTTTATTACACGAGTCTGTTCTCCCATCTGTGAAGTTAGGGGCTATGTGGGTCTCCAAGGGCCCTTTCCAATTTAGGCCTCTGCTTTCCCATCTTCGATTTTAAAAGGCAGTGCTAATGACTTAGTAATTGGATGTTTTTGTTTGTTTGTTTCCTAATGGAGTGTGAAGCACTCTGACAGTAAATCAACGAACTATGTGTAGGAAGAGATGGTGGGCTGTCCTTGCCTTACTGGGCATTGCACTTTACCTAGTGGACATTAAAAACCCAATAAATATTTGTTGAGCAAATGCCACTACCAGGAGCTTTGCTGAAATACACGACATTGGCTCAAATTCATCTCCTCTCTTTCTAAGTGACCTTGGGCCACCCACTTTATTTCTTGAAAGCACTTTTATATCCTAAAGAAGCTAGGGAGAGCATTACTAATTACACGTCCACAATATCAATTTTTACCATAGGCTATTAGGTTGAAATTTTATTTTTGGATCTAAAGTCATAAAACCTTACTTGCAGAAGTCAGAGTTTGAGCTTTTAATACAAATTCAGTGGTATATACAAAATTCTTTATTATATCAGAGTAATAGGCATTTGTTACTGAGAGCCCTGAAGTGGATGAATTTACAAAAGTAAAGGGCATAGGACGCACAGGACACCCAGCCATATTGATCAAAGCCCTATGGAACATCACTAAGAAGAGAAGTTCTTGGTCACTGTAGATTGGGGAATTTTTTGTGATAGGTGTTGACACCCTTATGAATCACCTCATGTTTTATTGTTATCAGGCTCACACTGTGCCATCAGACTCCCAGCATTACCATCATCATCACTTCTGGTATTTCTAATGATAATACTGGATATCAACAATGAAAATAATGTAGCCAACATCCATCTGCAACTTATAGGCTAGTGAGGGATAGACATAAACCCATAACTTGCAAAAAAAAAATGAAAAAAAAGACCTTTGTTTTCAATGACTGTTATATGCCATTACATTCACTTATTTGATGTTGTTACAAAGTGTTCGACCCAGTTCTGATATCATTCTTACCAAAAACTTAGTCTACTCCTGAAGATTGACTTTAAGAAACTTGCTTTTTTTATTGCTAATTGTAATGCTCTTGGTTGCAAGTTAACAGAATGTCCCAGTCAGTCACATAGACTGACTTTAGAAAGACTAGAGACACTGGCTTTGGGTATGACCCTTTCCACTCACCTGTCTTCCTTTTTGGTTCTACTTTTCCATGTCTGGATTTTAACATGTTCTTCCTATGTCATTTCCAGACAGACCCTATACCACCAAGGATGTTTTTGGAAACAGCAGGCAAAGAGACCATCCATTTATTAACACTTTAAGTAAAGCATCAGAATTAAGTTTCAGCCCTCATTGAACTCATTTTCCTACTCCTGATTTCATCTCTGTGGTCAGGGTGTATTTTATTATTATTAATTTATTCATTTTATATCCCGATCATATTCCCCTCTCTCATCTCCTCCAGGTCCCACTCTCCCTCCCTCTTCCCTCCATCCCTGTCCCCTAGTCCTCAGAAAGGGGACTGACCCTAACTATCAAATCTCTTTAGGACTGCTTTCATCCTCTTCTTCTGTGGCCTGGCAAGGCCACCTCAGCCTGGGTTGAAGTGATTAAAGAGCAGGCAACAGAGTTCTAGTCAGAGAGAGCCCCTGGTCCCCTTACTAAGTGACCCACATGAAGACTGAGCTGCCTCAGCTATATCTGAGCAGGTATCCTGGGTCTTCTCTATGCATGGTCCTTGGTTGGGGCATCAGTCTCTGCAGGACCCCCTGGGCCCGGATTTGTTGGCTCTGTTGGTCTTCTTAAGTGGATATTAGCCATATAATACAGTATAACCATACTACAATCAACAGACTTAAAGAAGCTAAGTAACAAGGAGGACCCTAGGGAGGATGCTTAATTCTCATTCAGAAGGCAAACAGGGTAGACACTGGATGGGGTTGAAGAGAGGGAACAGGACAGGAGCCTTCCATAGATGTCCTCTGAAAAAATGCCACCCAGCAGAGACACAGATGCTGAAACTCACAGCCAAACTTTGGGCAGAGTGCAGGGAATCTTATGGAATAGTGGGGAAGTAGAAAAACATGGAGAAGACAGGTCAGGGTGTTTTTAACTACTTACCTTTGTAAACTGATCAGTATTCAGTTTTGAATCAATCCTATAAAAAACATGATCAAAAATGCAGAGAAACACTGGAAGGGGAGGAAGAGGAAAGATGCTGAAGAGGTTACTACAAATACTAGGCATGGACACTAGCCAGGAAGGATCCTGAAAAATCTTCTTTTCCAGTGGTGTATGCATAGTATTCCTTCATTTAGTCATTCAGTCAGTGTATATATAGGCCCTGTCTTAAGTTAGAGAATGTACTAGGAGCTGTGGGGTCATAAGGATGTCTAAGACCAGGACTTGACTTGAGGAACCCCAGTGTCACATGATGGCCCTAAATCTTTGCTCTCTCTACTTCTCTGTGGGATTAGAAAATTTTGTTGTTCTCTTAGAGTCAAACACTATCACTTGCAGCTATGTCCATGAGATAATCTTATCCATAAACACCATTTATCTGTAGCTTAACTACTAAGACCAACCCCCAACTGTCACCAAAGTCACTGAGGAAGTGTTGGAGTTAATGGTCTTAAAGATTTGCCACTTTTGAATTCTCTAAGAAGTAATGAAGAAACTACCTTTGAATGTAAGTCAGAACTGTATGAAATGTGGGCCTGGAGCTGGCAAGCTCAAAAGCCAACAATTGTGGAAATATTCTGGGGTTTTCTTTTGTAAGAAACCAAAAGCTAAGCAGGTAGCCAATGCTAGGCTGACAGCTCTCCCAGGAGATTTCCTCCAGTGGGAAGTCGAACACTCAGAGCTTGGGCCACTTTTTCTAAATAACCTCACATCTGTAGAAGTGCCATAGCCAAATCACCTGCCAGGAACATGATAGTAGTTATTCTTAGATCCTATCCCAATCTGTGAGTCATGAAAATAGCATGTCTGCAATTTGTCAAACCCCATAGGTCTTGCTTGTGTGCACAGATAACCTGGCTTCCTGCTTTGGAGCCCCACAAGCCTTGTTTTGGGTTGCAGTGGTGCCATTGGCCAAGCAGAAGATTTTAAGATAACATGATGTTAGCAGGGCAGAGCCTCCCATTGTAGCTGGAGGTGAAGCTGGGACCAGGAAGTCACCTGTAGCATCACTAACCTGTTGCTCACACCTGGGACGTTTTCTGTGAAAGGGGGGAAGACATAGCAGTGCCCACAGTGGTACTGCTTATTTCTCATCCATTGGCTGGATGCAGCTCTAGCTCTGGAAGGGCGTGAACTGCAGAGCCCAGCCTGGAGACCCATCACAGTCCTAGGAAATGATGGCTTTGAGTGGATTTGGCACTATCCAAGCATGAGCTTTCCCACATCATCCCCGGGAACATGTTGTCTTATCCATATGTTGACAAGGTGAGTCAAGTTACTAAAGAATAAAAGATTAGCTCTCTCACACCTTAGATTTCAAGGGAAGATGGGTATCCCTTTCTCTGCCTCCACACTCCTCAGTGACCTCCATACAGCTTGGTTCAGTGGAAGAATTCTCTCCTGTGCTGAGAAGCCCTGGCTAGGGAGGGCCTGCAGTATGCATGGGACATTGCTGTAGAAGTAGATCCTACTGTGTCACCTCTATACCCATGGGGCCTTAAAAATTGCATTCACCTTTGCATTTTGCTTGGGAAATGTTTGTTGAGTTAAATCAGGAAGTGACACTTTCAGACTTAGTGACA